CTCCTGTTAGGTTTGTTTTTCAGTCGGTGTCACAAACAGTGTTGAATACTAGTTGTAGCACTGATGACAGACACGTTGAAATTAAACCAGCAAAAACACGACAGAGAATTAAAAACGTGCAGAAACAGAAAGTAAAGCAGGGGAAAACTAAAGAACACCAAAAATGATATCGCAGTTCGGTGCGCACACCTACTCTGCGGGGCCACGCCCAGACAGTGAACAATCTACTAAGATAAAGAGATTACAAACACCAATCGGTCTTACACACTCAAAGACTCTCTCCTTGATGTTGTCGCCACTGTGGAGAATCTTCTTAGTGGTCTTGTCCAACGAGCACCACTCGTCTTTGAAAACTTTCTCCCATAAGCAATACGTTCTTCTCCCGAAGAACCACTTTTTGTTTTTTTCACTCAACGAGCATCAAAGCAGCCTTTTGTTGCAGAATATTTCCTATTTTCAGCACTCTCTCTCTATTTTCCAGAAGCCAAAACCACACATATGTTCTGCCATCTTTTCCTTTTCTGCAGGTTCTATTTTTCTCAAATAAACCGTCCACGTGCATCACACTATCACCCCAAAATACTCACCCCACAGAATGCACAAAATCAGCCACCGTACAGCCCTTATTCCACACATAGAACCAAGCTCCAGCTTGCAGATTACAAGCAATCAATTCCCCCCAAAAGTCCACTCTTCATTTTCAGCAATCAAATCTTTTGATTTGCAGCCCATAAACATGACAACAAGACTTTCCTTAAGAGGTCTACTAATTTACAATGCCAGCAAATCTTACAACTAATTTGCCAAAAATAAGTCAACACAAAATGCACTAACACCTCTCATTCATTTTTAACTATTCACAACTCAAGTTTAGGTGTACCAAACACATACTCAAATCAAATTCTCAATTCAAAAATTAACTTAAATTTGCACCTCCAAACACAAATTCAAATTACATATTCAACTCAAATTATAACTCAAATTCAACTCAAAATCTATACTCAAATCACTATAACTCAAAAATGTAACTAAACAAATGTCGGCGGCCATATTATGATACAGTAACCTTTGTCTACGATAAAGGTATATATAACCAGCTCTATCGTTCCATGTAATTATAATTTCATGAATAAATTGGAGAAAATGAGATATACACAAAAAGTAACTATTTTCTTCTTGAAGTAATACTCGTGATAAAGTATAGCAAAATATGTATATCTAGCTATATGGCAAGTACATAATAATGGTTTATTGTATAAAAAAAATAAAATTATAGTGAAAGAGAAGAAAAGGTGAGCCAAATCGGAGTTTGGCATGTGTTAAAAAGAGCATTAGACATCTCAGATAGAATATTTAAAGTCCTAATAATGATTAGCACAGATTGTATTATGTGTTTCTTTGAGACCCGTGCTCTATGAGTCTCTTTTTCAGGTTTCTCTTCGAGCCTTTCACCCATATGGCTAGTTTCAGCTATAACTTATTGAAAAGAAAATTTTGTATTATTCGCATTCGTTACAAAATAATATTGTTAGTAGGTGTAACCTTTTTCCAAAACAAATAATAAATAAATGATTTTTCAAAGGTATGTTGGACATATTTAGCATTGCTTCCTAAAGTTATAAATATCTCTTTTTAACAAAAAGTTGTTTTCAATATTTTTTTTTAGAGAATTGTATTCCAAATCAAGAAGATACACATAATATTGATTGACTGGCCTCAAAATATATAAAAATTTACCTGATCACAGATTAGATCAATTAGTAAATATAAAAAAAAGATACAAGGGGGTAGAACATGCATCAAGTCCAAGAGATCATAGAAAACCAAAAGGGCACACCAATAATCGAGCTTACAAATGACTCTTTTAACAATACATCTACAATTGATAGAGAACTCTAAACAATCGAGACCAGAAGACTCATAATACAAAGGTCATCACCGCATTACCACAAAGAACAAACTCTTGTGAGTTGGAGACGCAAATAAAATCAGAGTATGAGAAGACCACATTTATTATTACATAGTAATAAAAAATTACAATTAAAACACAACACCTAAATGGCCAAACCATCGTCTTTATTTTACATAAATAACAACCACAAAACAAAGAAGCAACCCTAACAACATGAACAAAACCACCGATGATTAGGTAGGACGGCTGCCTATCCTTGTCTATATGTGGCTCCGCCTCTGGGTGATAGACACTTTAGCAGGCTAGACATTTTGAGCCAATTTTGTGACCCTTCTCTTGGCGTACCATCTCAATACCAAAGTAGTAATTTAGTTAAACAAAATATACAATATGTTGGTGTTCTCCTTTCTTCATGATCAAATGGATTGCTTTTCATGACTTTTCTTTTCAAATTATTTTTAAGCTCTTGCTTCAAAAGATTATGCGAAAGAACAAGTAGAAAGGTTTTTTTCCTCATTCGGTCTCCAAACTGTTAAACCGGGTTAGGTGTCCATTTAAAAACTCAGACAATTAGGTCACAAACTAACACCTTTATTTTTCTTTAGTTCTTCTATTTGTCCAACCGTTAACCTTTCAATTCATGAACAAAGTTTGAAGCCGGGAAGGCTTTAAGGAAAGAGATTGATATCTTTAACTGTATAACAAGCACACAGATTTTCCTTTGAGCGCTCGCTTTTGTCACGTTATGAGTGCCCACGACCTAGCAATGCATAGGTCAGGTACATGTCACGTGTGGGGACCCACAGCCTGCACGTAATGACACGTGTACGTTTCTGACTGGCAACCTGCATTCCCCGTCCAAGCTGGCCCATGGCATTCTATTGGTCTAGCACTAAAAAACCGCCATATTTGTACAAGTTGGGAACTGCCAAGTGGCAGTCATGGGATGGCCCACAGTATTTTGCTGGGGGGGCCCACCAAGGTCCTCATGGGTAAAACCTACTCATTACACTTTAAGAAACTTTTGTGTGTGTCCAGTTGCCAGTTCTGCTTAAGCTCAGTGCTCTTTCACTCTTCAGTGGTAAAAAGAAAAAGAAAAGGATCTTTCATGTCCTTTTTCGTCATAAAGAAAGTCTAGAACTAATGTAATTTCCTTTGGATTCTAGCTAGGCCGAATCTAGCTTATAGGTTGTTTATAGGTTGTTTAGTTGAGGATTCGTCTCTTGATTCGAATTATAATTTATAATTTATTATAATATTTTTTCTCATAAAAAATATATATAAATTAAAAATAATTCTAATAATATAGTTCTAATTTATGAACCAAACGTCTCCTTATATTTTAATATTGTCATTCACACTTTTTCACGCTAAAAAAAATAAAAAACAGTCACACTTGAACAGTATCAGTGTGAAATTACAATTTTGCCCTTCGTTCACTTCCATGAATGACTGTAGCGCGAGGGACCTCCTGGAATTCAGACCTTTTTGACTGCAGATGCAGCCGTTGCTTACATGTATATACCATTTTTGGGTCGCCGTTATTGAGAAAGTAAATTCTCTAAAATACCATTTTCTCTCTCTAAACATGTTTGTTAGTGAACTCTCCTCCCTTATTACGTTTTTGGATGGCAAATGAGTGTGACAGCTTTTGCTCTGCTACAATGCTAATTCATTACTTAGCGGTCTAATGGTTAGTTGGAGAATTTAAATCATAATTTAAATTATAATTTATAATTTATTATAATATTTTTTTTTATAAAAAATATACATAAATTAAAAATAATTCTAATAACATATTTATGAACAAAAACGTCTCATATTTACTAAAATAAAAAAACAAGAAAAAGAAAAAGAAAAGCTAATTCATTACTTGCACTCTTTGGTATCAATTTCTATAATGAAAGGGGAGACAACTTCGCTTAGCTGACTTCCTTTGCTTGGACCATCAAACTTGGTATCAAATCATATATACATATATACATATATATATATATATATATAACAACTTTGGTATCGTTGTGAGGTGTGTTTTGCTTCAACAGAATAATGTTTTTGGATAGCATCTTCATTTTAAGATATTTTTTTGATTTTCAAGATTTAATCGGTTTGTACTTGGTAGGGTCTTTAAAAAATTATATTTCTGATGATTGATAAGTGTGGGAGCGAGTAGCTTTCTGAACAAATTAAAAACGTATTTGAACCAAATTTTACTACGAAGTAATCACATACTTACAATCCAAGGCCTAAAACAGAACGTACTCATACCAAAGCTTAGGAAGCAATTTAATAACACACAAAGCAACATACTAAAGACAGTGTGTGTATGTACGTACTTTAGAAACGTATTTTCTAAATCCATTTTCACCCCCTTCTTGAAAAAACAAAGAAAGAAAAATACGGCATATGATTGCATTCTTAATCTAATAGTAATTTTACAATTATCTCAACAATAAGGTATTGCGGTCAAATCGCATCAAAATTCAAAAAGGAAAAAAAAAAAAAAAAAACCTACATGGCCTAAAAATGAAAGGATATTTTTGTTATAAGATATTTATACAAGTAATGTACAGTTTTAACACATTAAATACATTGAACACTACTAATAGTGACACATTTGTGTTGTACCATACAAAATAATTACCCAAAATGTACGTAATTGTGTAAACACTAAACAACACCAATACATATTCAACAAGGGTTCATTAAGGGATTATGGCTTCGTTCATTTCACCGATTTGAGTTTTCAGTTTTAGGTTTCTATAGTAAAAAGCTCTCAGAAAATGTCACATCTAACTTTTTCTGTTACAGTGAAAAATTCTCAAAAAATGTCACATCTCAACTCGAATTAAAAATTCGAATCTACGAAGTAAACGAGGACTATATATGAAAATTTATATTTTATTTAAAAAAAAAATTTGAGACACCATATCATTAATCAATCTCTTTCTCGACCCACACACCCCAAAAGTCCACAGTCACCAACCAGGGGCAAAATAGTAATTTCATCATCTTGCCCCCCCTCACCTTCCTTTTCTGAAAACAGTCCTTCAACTTTCCATAAATCACCTCCTTAAAGTCCCCCTCCTCTTCTTCCTCAATCTCTCCCCCTTTTCCTCATTCCAAATTTCCAAACATCCCAAAAAACCATCACCACCATGATGACCTCTCTCCTATATTGGACTCTCTCTCTCCTCTACTTTCTCTCTCTAGAACCCCACCTCTTTCTCTCCTCCTCCACCTCCATCCACGACCTCCTCCGCTCCAAGGGCTTGCCGGCCGGCCTCCTCCCGAAGGACGTCAAGTCCTACACGCTCTCCGACGACGGCCAGCTGGAGGTCTTCCTCGACGGGCCTTGCCTCACCAAGTTCGAGAACAGGGTCTTCTACGACGCCGTCTTGAGGGCCAACCTCAGCTACGGCAGCCTAAACGGCGTCGTTGGGCTCACCCAGGAGGAGCTCTTCTTGTGGCTCCCGGTCAAAGACATCATCGTTGACGACCCCGCCTCCGGCGTTATTCTCTTTGACATTGTCGTCGCTCACAAACAGCTTTCTCTCTCTCTCTTTGAAGATCCCCCAGATTGCAAACCAAAAGGTACGTATTTCGTCCATTACACACACACACACACACACGCACATATATATATATATGCATGTAGGTATAGTTTTAAGTCCGGCCGCGGCGTTTATACGATCTGACAGGTGTAACATTTTTTATTTTGTTAGACTGATACGGTCGTCGGACTGAATACATTTCTTTGTGTGTGGATGTATATATATGTGTGTGTAATGGTTTGTAACATATGGGGGTTTTGAATGGGACGTGGGTTTTACGTTATATATGTTATAGGTTTTTGAAACAGTTCTGGAATTTAATATGTTTCTGTTATTTCTGGTAAAATTGCAGAAACGGTCTGGGAGAGACGACTCAGAAACTGACTACTATACATAGACTTCACTTTGCTTTGCCTTTTCTTCTTCATTTTCTATTTTCTGTTTCAAGTTTTTTTTAAAAGAAAATAAATTTGAAAAAAATATGTTTCAAGGAAAAAAAAAGCTTATTGTTTTAGTTTTAAACCGTGAGATTACTTCAGTATATTCACATAAAATTAAGAAATATAATATTTCTAATTTTTTTAATTAAAAAATTGCAAAAATATAAAAAATACCTACATATACAATTTTAAACCGTAAGAATATTCATATAAAATTAGTAAAAACATGTATTTTAAAAATATTTAGAGAAATTTGATGGTTAAAAATTGTATTTGTTAGTAAATTTTTTCCCTTGCGCCAAAGAATCTTCATTCTATTTCTATTATGTTCTGAAAAAAAAAAAAGAAAATATTTTGAAAGAATATGAAAAATATTTTTCGTTTTTATTTTTTATTGTTTTTTTAAAATTTAGTGGTAAAAGCTTGGCAGGGCACAAGTACAGTACTTGGGCAGCCTTTGGAATTTTCCGTTCGATTCCAATTATTAGGAAATTCAGTTATTAATTATTCGTTTTTCGGTTATTACGAAATTTGCATCAATGGAAGGTTAAACATGTGATGTTGTTTTGCAGGTGTGTCGAAGAATCATGTGAGGAAAGACAGAGGATTTGAGGCTTTGAGATAAATAAAATAAAATAAAAATAAAATGCCGACCTTGTTTCAAATTTTTGTCTTTTCTCTCTATAATGTAATATTTTACAACCTAATTATAGTTATAAAACTAGGTGAGTTTTTCCCTTTTTTCTTCTTCTTCTTTTTTTTCTTTTTAGGGGGTTAGTGGGAGATGGTAAAGATGTGATATCTTGGAATCAACAAGTACTAATCAATTTAGAGGTTCTAATCTTCTACCTTTTCTTCATGTTTTTAATTCTAATATATATCAAGATGAGCCCCAAAGAAAAGAATCATTTTTTTATTAGGCCCTAAAGCTATGGTTTCCTACAAAAAAAAAAAAAAAAAATCTAAAGCTTGTTTTAGATGACAATAATAGGCTGCGGAATTTTCACGAAGAAGAAAGATATTTTCAATATGTTTTTTTTTTCTTTAAAGAAATAGAAACTATTTTTTTAACAAAAAAAATGCTTTTCAAGCATAATTTAGAATTAATATACATAGGGCCCGTTTTGTTTGCTGATTCGAGTTTTTAATTCGAGTTGAGATGTGATTTTATGTGAGAGTTTTTTACTGTAGTAAAAAAGTTAGATGTGATTATTTGTGAGAGCTTTTTACTGTAACAAAACTCGAATTCTAAACTCGAATTAGCGAAATGAATGGGGCCATATATAGATGAAGTGGTGTCCCTTGCTCTATACTTGAAGATTTGATCAATAAAATTGGAAAATGAAAAGAAGAGGAGAAAAAAAAGAAGAAAAAAGAAATGGTAGCTTATTGCCAACTATTCTTATAAGATATTTTTTATGGTATTCTTATTAGATTTTCTAAGACTTGGGAAATTTAAAGGGTCTAGTTTTGGAGGTTACTACTACTACGCACACAAAACATGCAATTTGATGATGATTCCAATTCTCAAAAGGGAATAGAAAAAGCCTCACTTCACGGGCGAATATTATCCTTTTGTACGGACATAAAACTCTTTTTCTTGAATGGGATATATGTATTGGCAGATTCAAATATATATATATATATATATATACATATATATATATATAGAGGTGTCATTATCTTCAAAATTACTACTCGAAGTACTACACCTTTAGATTACGCGGGAAATTGTAGGGCCCATCTAAAAGTGGGGTCATGATTTTTTATTGGAAAGGGGTCCCACACGCACCTTCATGCTGGGGTGCCCTATAATTACACTTGTGTCGCTTCTTTTGACTTTTAGTTGTGGCTTGGTACTGTACCTTGGTGATAAATTGTGATTACTTTTAGGCCTCATTTGGCAAAACAACTAGAGGTATAAGGAATTGTTAAGATGATTATTTGTTACATCAAGTTCCTATACAAGTAATTCTTAGGGAAAAAATGATTTGGTGTTTATTTTTTGGAGAATTTTGTAATTGAATATGAAAAAAAAATTACTTATCCTCATATGTAAAATAATTTTGAACATTTAGTTCACACGTAAAAATCATATTAAATTAAAAAAATGAGAATTTTTATGTAGTAGAAATTTAACATTTAAAGACTGTAATTCTATTTGATTTTCATAGCTACAACAAAAAATCTCCTTATATTTAGCTTTTTTATTTCCTATAATTATTTTCAATTATTCATTGTTAAAAAGAGCATTTTTGTTCGGAGTCAGTTCCACCTCCGCTCTCACGTAGGACCATCTCCAAATGGAGCCGAGAAGCATTTTCGTATTAAAAATAACATGCCCCGCAATGACGCATACACTAATTAATGATTTGAATACGAGTATGCTTGAAACCTTCACTCTCTTTTTTCCCTTTATTTATTAAACTGGCAAAGTCTAAAACTTAAATTTTATGGTAAAACTCAAATTGACAAGAAAATAAGGGACCTTTTCTGGTAGGTCGGTTTATCGACAAGTTTAGTTTTTGATCGTTAAATTTGGTCAAAATTATATTAGATTAGAAAAGTATGAAAAATAGACAGACTTTGATACTGATCTAATAACTGAAAAGTAAGGAAGTACTGGTAGTCTATTTTTTCAGGGATTATGAGAGAAACTCGCTGAAAATAAAGCATTATAACATTGGCCTACATTGATCAACAGTACTTGAATATTTTGTTTTGGTGGGAAAGTTTCAATTTTGCAGTTACTGTCAAAGTGACACATATATATTCAAAACAAAGCATTGTAAAGTTCAACGTATTGGCCTAACAGTCTGTGCTTGTCTTAATATTTTATACCAACATTCCTGTCTATATGAATGCAGTTGTCAAGCATATATTTAAATATGGAAACAACCAATTTTTTTTCTGTCCAATTCCGTGAGGTGTTCCACTAGTTTACCACCTTGGGTTCAGGGTTTCGTTTGGAAGAAAATAATATTATAAAATGTATATTTTTTTTTGTTAACTGAATATTATAAAATATTTGAATAGAACTACAGAAGTAATGTTATTGGAAGCATGTAACGTAGTTTGAAAAGTTCAAGGTCCTGCATGCAATATATATATATATATAGGACTCCTAAACTTTTAACGGATTTAACACCTCAAAACAAATCACTACTAATACGGTTTTTTTTCACGTCTTACCATAAAATTCTCATATAACTAAAAATTAACAAAATATTGTAATAAGATATGAAATATATATATATATATATATATATATATACTTTGTCAGATGATGCACATATCACATCAAAGTTATATCAAATATAGAAAAAAAAAAAAAGACTTTTAAGGAACCTTATTTCAAATCTAACTATTTAAGATTATGTCTCACCAGTAAGTGAATTTTTCATAGCGTTACCACATCATATTCTTGATTAATATTCACTTAAGTAATATAATTATTTAAAAATAAGAAGTAAAAATTTAAATTCATACGAGTCCCTTTTATGAGAAATTAATTTCGGCCCATAACTCTATTTATTATGTCAAAAATTTCGGCGGAAATTTCTTAGAAACACTTTGAATAAATTTTTAAGCCGTTGAATAAAATTTCTTCCAAATCTATACCATCCAATTGTAGAGATATTATCATCGTAAGTAGGACCACTAAATCAAAGAGTTTCCCATCAAAGTATTTTGTTTCTTCCAAATTAAATTTTCCTCGATTAACAAAATGAGGAATCTGGTGATGGTGGGTCGCTTGTCGCTTCATGTTTATTGGCTTATGAAAGGTCCTATTGCCAATGTCAATTTCTAATAATTGTTGGTAAAACATTGCAGAGCCTATCAACTAAAGAAAGGAAGTGCTTGTCCTAAAGCAACTTGGTCCATATTGGGATTGCTATAAAACCATTTCTTAGGTCCCCCAAACTCATTGTCCATTATTGGCTGTCCATGTTTTAATTTTTTTTTATAGCTTAATTCGTTAAATTTAATTAAAATCACATCAGTTTAAAAAAAAACATGTAGAATAAATAATTTTAAATATAATTTTAATAGTTGAGAATAAAATCTTTTCGTTAGTTTATTTTTTTAGTTCAAAATCAATCATTTTAATTAGATTAATTAACAAGGTTGGCAGTTCATCCACCTCAGAAAAACAAAGTGACAGACATTGAAATCGGCTGCTGCCAAGTGCTTTTGATGCCGATGCCTCACCAAACTCAAGCTGTTATTTGTAAACTTCAATTACTTTAGAGTTCATTAATTGGACCAAATGAATGTGAAAAGACATAGAATTGGGAGTTCTACACTATAAATAACTGCTATTTAATAATTAGGTGACCATCTCACAAAAGAGATCTTTCTCCGATACTAAATATTTTTGTGGGTTTATTATTATTATTATTATAATTATCATATTAAGAAGCTTCTACGTTCATAGAGATTAGATTTAATCAAAATTATATTAAAATAAAAAAGTAAGCAAACCTAAAAAGATCTTATATATATATATATATATATAAGAGTTTTAATTAAGAGAAAAATACATGATTTGTATGGTTTTATAAATTCCTATTATTTATGATATTCTAAATAATTTGGGGTGATTATTTATTTTTAAACAAAGTGGTATAAGTAATAGTCTTTAGCACCTTGAGTGGTATTTTTTTATTTTTTCCCCTTAATTAAAGAAACTACCAATACAGTATTTTTTTTTTAAATTTTCTATGTAAAAATCTTATTATAGTAAAATTTTTTTTAAGCATGAAGAAAGCTGAGTATTGAAAATTGTTGAATTTGTTCTTTATATTTCAATTTGTATTATATTCAACCGATTTAATATTTTTCAATGCCGAAATGTCCTTCACGCTAAAAAAAAAAGAAGGAAAAAACATATGTGACCAATATAATATTTATCCTTTTTTACATTAATCATAGGACTTGTGTGAATGGTCATCGTTATAGGCAATACACTTTCTAAATGACGAATTTTGACCAAAATCTAGCAATTCAATGAAGAATTATTCTCACTAATTCCCTAAAATTTTGGTGTCATTTTCAGTTTGCTCTTTAAATTTGAAAAACTCTCACTTTATTCTTTGAACTTTAAATTATTCTCACTTAACCCCTTTTGCTATAATTTTTGTTAAAAATAGAAGGAAAAAAGGAGGTTAAGTGTGGTTATGTAGTTTTTATCTGTTTCTTTTTAATAAAAATCTAAACAGAAAGACCACATAGTTGCGTTATTCTCTTTTGTCCTATCCGTTTCAACAGAAATTGCAATAGAATGGGTTAAGTGGAAACATATCAAAATTTAGCAGACAAAATGAGAATTTTTAAAGTTCATAAAATAAATTGAGAATTACTTAAAATTCAAGGGACATCAGTAATAATAATCCTTTAAAAAATGCACGTATAGGTGCAACTTACATAAAATAATAGAGAGAATAATTAGTTTAAGATTAGCATGTAGGTGTATAGGTGCAACTTACATAAAATAATAGAGAGAATAATTAGTTTAAGATTAGCATGCACCTACAATGAGGAGTTACAGCTAGCATCGTTTATTTTCCCCCACTTTTTAATGGGAAAGGATACCTTAGAGTTGCCTTTAGGCCTTGGAAATGGTGACTAGTAACAACAAAATGGTGTATAATCTCTTAGGTTGATTAGAGTAATAAGAGGAGTTGAAGGCTTCTGGTCGGGGTTAGTTCTGTAAGGGTGTGGAGATGCATATATATGGGCTAGAGTAACATGCCTTAAGCATTAGTTGTTATTATAGTTATTATGAAGGAAATATATATATATATATATATATATATATATATATATATATATGGGCTAGAGTAACATGCCTTAAGCATTCGTTGT